TTAATCTACTGACAGCAGAAATGTTCTATGGCAATAATACAGGTTAATCTACTGACAGCAGAAAATGTTATATGAATATATAACACAGGTTATTCTACTGACAGCAGAAAATGTTATATGAATATATAACACAGGTTATTCTACTGACAGCAGAAAATATTCTATGGGTAAATAAAACAGGTTAACCTACCACAGCTGAAAATGTTCTATAGGTAAATAAAACAGGTTAACCTAACACTGCTGAAAATGTTCTATGAATATATAACACAGGTTAACCTAACACTGCTGAAAATGTTCTATGAATATATAACACAGGTTATTCTACTGACAGCGGAAAATGTTCTATGAGTAAATAAAACTGGTTAACCTACCACAGCTGAAAACGTTTTATGGGTAAATAAAACAGGTTAACCTACCACAGCTGAAAACGTTTTATGGGTAAATAAAACAGGTTAACTTAACTACAGTTGAAAATGTTCTCTGGGTATATAACACAGCTGTTAAGCTTCTCTATAATGATGAATAAAATTTTATATTATTTTGAAAATACATTTTTAATGGAATGGAACTGCAAATGATTATTTTATTTTATATTCCTTAAGGCTTTAAAAATATTCAGTTCCTTATTTTTTATGAAATATGGATGTTTATTGGTCAAATAAGAACTTTTAAACAGTAGTTTTTCTTGGAAGAAAATGATAAGTATTTCTGAACCTGATGACTTGTGTTAATTTCTTTCTCCTGAATTTACTATGAGGGGTTAAAAATTCTATAGAACTTGTATTGTGTACATACTTCAAAAACATCATGGAAGTGTAATACATCATTATGATACACTGATTTATGATGGAATAACTGACATTTTGGGTACTGCCTCTTCCTTGTTAACTAATGGAAAACAAACAAATAAACTTATTTTATTACATTAGCAGCTATTCGCAGTTTATATAATCTTAAGTAGATTTCATTTAAAAATAACCAGAAAAATATTTATTCAACATTCTTAATATCAAAAGGCTAACACAAAATATCTCTAATATTGTAGTTAATAAGTAAAACTTACTAATATTAGATATTCAAAATTCTGTAAACAAACCTTGGTAAAAAAAAAACATTAACAAATCATTACACAACTCTCTTTAAGATTTGATTTTTCACTTAAAGTTAGCACATCTAAGCTACTAAAATTCTAACCCATCATTACATGTAGAAAGTTAAATCAAATCTGTAGGGTTTAGTAGCTGAGACTCACCAACTGTTGGTGGGATTCTAACCCATCATTACATGTAGAAATTCTTTATTAATACAAGAAGGTAGACAACACATGGTTATATACCACATGTACACACACACAGTGTATTCTTTATTAATACAAGAAGGTAGACAACACATGGTTATATACCATATGTACACACACACAGTGTAATCTTTATTAATACAAGAAGGTAGACAACACATGGTTATATACCACATGTACACACACACAGTGTAATCTTTATTAATACAAGAAGGTAGACAACACATGGTTATACACCACGTGTACACACAGTGTATTCTTTATTAATACAAGAAGGTAGACAACACATGGTTATACACCACGTGTACATACACACACTGTATTCTTTATTAATACAAGAAGGTAGACAACACATGGTTATATACCACATGTACACACACACAGTGTATTCTTTATTAATACAAGAAGGTAGACAACACATGGTTATATACCACATGTACACACACACAGTGTATATTGTATTCTGTTAATACAAGAATGGTTACGTATTGTACTTTGTTAGCACACAGATACTGCATACTGTACTCTGTATGTTGTCATCAAGCAATAACTTGAAATTCCTGATTCCTGTAGTGTTTCCTGACCTCTGCCATCCACATGTGAAATATCGTGTTCGTCCAGAAAAATGTTTTGCCTTCCATAAATTAGTAAGTAAGCTTTTATTGTTATTGCATAAATTGTTTAAAGGAGAAAAAATTTTGTTATGTACCAAAACATGTGCTGTAAAGTTAAAACATAAATGTATGTTGATTTTTATGCTGGTTCAAGGTTTCCAGGCCTGCAAATTTCCCAAAAAACAGGATGGATAAGTTGAGATAAGCCAAGATGTTTAAAACATCACACATTTAATTGTTGTTTTTATCTTGTATAATAATAATATCATAACTTAATGATAAGTTGAGATAAACCAAGGTGTAAAATGTCATAAATTTAGTTATTTTTTGTTTTTATCTTTAGGAAGACAGCACTAAATGTAGTGCCATTCAACTGCACTCCTTTCTTCAATCCCAATTTTTTGCCATAGGAGTTCTAATTTTATTCATAGAAATCTCGAACTTGTTTCACCCCTGATTAACTGTACTCAACTCTTCATTAAAATGTATAGTTTTATCAAGAAAAAACAGAGCAATACTGAATTCTTAAGACTAGTATACAATCCAAGTTGATGTGAATCACTTGAAGTTATTGATTGTGTGTGTGTGTTTATATGTACATATATTTATTTATATTCCTGCTAGGATCCTACTCTACAGAAAGCTCTATTATTTGTTTTATTTTTTAAATACTGACCAAAATAGGAGATAATTTAAAACTTTGTAAGTGATGTTGTTTTTTCATTTACGATAAAAGTCATCCATTTTAATTCAACTCAACTTTTCTAGGCCTAAAAATGTTCTTTTGGTTTCCATAACTAGAAATATCTTAATTTTTATCAACTAATATAAAACTACTTTTGTAAACCTGAAAATGTTCTTTTGGTTTCCATAACTAGAAATATCTGTTAATTTTTATCAACTAATATAAAACTACTTTTGTAAACCTGAAAATGTTCTTTTGGTTTACATAACTAGAAATATCTGTTAATTTTTATCAACTAATATAAAACTACTTTTGTAAGCTTTAAAAGGATTTTTTGGTATCCATAACTAGACTTTGTAAACCTGAAAATGTTCTTTTGGTTTCCATAACTAGAATATCTGTTAATTTTTATCAACTAATATAAAACTACTTTTGTAAGCCTTAAAAAGATTTTTTGGTATCCATAACTAGACTTTGTAAACCTGAAAATGTTCTTTTGGTTTCCATAACTAGAATATCTGTTAATTTTTATCAACTAATATAAAACTGCTTTTGTAAGCCTTAAAAAGATTTTTTGGTATCCATAACTAGACTTTGTAAACCTGAAAATGTTTTTTTGGTTCAAGCTAAATTTCTGTAAGCTTAAAATATCCTGTGATCTAAATTTCATTCAGTATCTTTTAACCCATCATTAGATGTAGAACATAATCTCAGATGTTCCAACTGTAAGTGGGAAATCAAATCTGTAGGGAGTTATTTTAACCCATCTTACATGTAGAATTTAGTAGCTGAGACACACCAATTGTTGGTGGGAAATCAAATCTGTAGGAAGCTCTGGCATTGTATACACAAGTCTACAATATTGTTCCTTTCAAGACACAAGTGCTACCTATGTCACTTTTGATCTCAAGATATCATCTGACTGCCAACATTGTATACACAACTCTACAATACTGTTCATTTCAAGACACAAGTGCTACCTATGTCACTGTTGATCTCAAGATATCATCTTACTGCCAACATTGTATACACAAGTCTACAATACTGTTCCTTTCAAGACACCCGTGCTACCTATGTCACTGTTGATCTCAAGATATCATCTTACTGCCAACATTGTATACACAAGTCTACAATACTGTTCATTTCAAGACACAAGTGCTACTTATGTCACTGTTGATCTCAAGATATCATCTTACTGCCAACAGAAAAGGCATCATTCCCTATGTATATTTTATCTTTCCCACAAAAGGAAGCTACCTTGAGATGAATGACACAGAGGAGTAGGTGGCTAGAACTAAACTTACTTAATGACCTTCTTAACCAAAGTGTTATGTATAACTGTACAAAACTGCACAAAGAACAAATTAAAAAAGATACTTATACTAATACAAGGAGGTAGAAAATACATGGTATACTTGTATACCACATAACTGTATAGTGTATTTTTTGTCAAAAGGATGTACAAAACACACAATATGCTTATATACACACTTTTTCCCCTCTCTTTACTTCAGAGCTTGTCCTCAAACCAACATTAATCTTAAAATCTATAAGGCTTACAAATACACCTTGGTCAAGGAGTTGCATAACTTTTTTCACCCCTATAAAAACAAATGTTTCACAAGAAACACAGCCTTTAACAAAGACACAATACATTAATTCTTAGAACCATTAGTAAAAGCAAAGAAGGATATGATAATCACGCTATTTCTGTGATATCCAATGCAGATGAGGCCATTCTTCCAATACCAGAACTCATCAGGCCAGCTGGGATGCAACAGACATAGTAATGGTCTAAGCACAATATATATAATACACACACATATACATAACATCAGATTTTATAAACACAAGCTGTAATGATGTGAAATATGTTAAGCAAGTAAATTGTAATTACTGCCAATTTACATGATAATACCCTCTGACAATGAACACAATAATTCTAACTAAAATCTTCCAACAAAGAAAATCAATATATAATAATAAAAAACCTTTAATACACATGACTGAATATCATAAACTCCTTGAAAGAAAATAAAAAATAGAGTTCTACACAGTTAAAATGTAATGTTATAGATGAGACCCTTCAGTATAATAAAGACACCAGTAAACCAGAAATCATGTCATAATAAAACCCAAAGTACAATAACACTTTAACAGATATAATCACCATATTTACATGTTATTAGTTGTTAACTGACCAGAATATAATGTCTTTAACATCAATTTATAAATAGATGAGCAGTAAATCATACCCTTTACTAATGATTAAATCGAGCTATCTAGTAATGATACAACAGCCACATCACACAGTAAAATCAGTACATATCTAATAAAAAGAAAAGTCACATGACAACAATGAAAAAAAAGTACAGGAATAAACCTAACAGTGACATAAGCAAATATATAAAAGCTCTTTATTAATGATAATCGATTTAACTCATTATGTGGTGAAAAAAATGTAGGAGAAAACTGGAATTATGAAGAACCATGTTTAGTAAATCCCTTTTTAAAACATACCTTAAGTGATTAAAAACCCATTATTCTCAGAAATACAATAGTAATCAATTAACCCTTTAAGATTAAACTGAAAAGAAACTAAAATACCTTACAAATAAAACACACATTTGTGAAATTAGAATAACTAAAAGAATGTATTTACACTTGTGTAAACAAATAAAAAGAAAAAACTTAGAAAAAAGAATACACTTCAATACATATACAGAAAGGAAACCCTCTAAACCTTATACGTGATGAAAGTAATGTTATAAACATAGATATATACAAACTATGGCTACAGTACTAGAAAATAACCTTTGTTTTTACACAGGTCTTAACGGCTGTTTTAAATTATATTCACATAGTTTATCTTGATTTACCATAATGTCTTGCTGTTGTTTACACCATTTCAGAACTTTCACCACTTGCACTTAAAAAAAAATACTTCAGTCTAACATAAATCTCTTATACTGTAAATGTTTCTTAAATGCTACCAGCTCACTAGTATTTACTAGTCAAGCTTGGTAAACTATACCAAAAGAGTCATTTCTAATAACTTTGGTATCAGTGCAAGACATTTCTTGTGATCCCTAGCTTGGAGTTGCAAAAGCTGTAATCATCTTTCATCCACATCTTTACTTTCCATGACTTACTGCAGCTTTGAAACTTGGTGAGTTAAGTGCACACACACTGACTAGTTGAAAAAGAAGACTGCCAGAAAGGTTAAGAATTTGAACTTAAATAGCAAAAGTCAGAACTGAAAACAGAATGTGAAACAAATTCCGATTGGTTAGAAGTTCAGCCATGTGAGTAGGTTGTAAGATGTTGTAACTATTCATTACAAACATGCTCTGTTCTAAAACTACATTTCAGATATAGAGTAATAAAAGTATAATCTTGTTGAATTGACATTTATATAGGTTTAACATGCTTTAAACACACTATATTGCCTGTAGAACATGTAGCCCTAACACCTGTGGATGGCTCAATCCACCATACTTCATTGGGTCTCCACTTGATAAATGCGTAATGCTGTGCTCTCATTCCTGTAAAAACAGCTGACACAACTTATGATCAAATCTCATTCCTTCCATTACTGTCTGGTTTTTACATAAACATATTTCTAGGTTCTAGTAAGAAAAATTTAACTTCTTAACTTCCTTAACTTCTGGCCATGAGAATCAGCTAACACTTGAATCATCTCTCCCTTGTGACTTCTTCAATGTATAAGTGTAATACTATCTAGGTACAATTACGTAGTTTTGCCACAGGTGGGTTACTTTCCACTTCTAGCAGTACACTCGCAGCCTGCATTTTCATGAAACAATGTTAAGAAAATATTTATTAAAGCTGTGTGCTTATAAAAAAAAAAAAGTTTAATCTGCAATTTCAAAGATATTTTATTACCAAATAAAACACTGGGTACACCAAGTTTACAAGTGATGTGATATCCAAGCTACTTTCTGTGAATTCATCTACTACTGAAAATTACACTCACTCACAAGTATTTTGATTCAGTCTAATTGAAATATCTTATACTAGTTTTACTGAAAAACAAATTGTAAAACTAAGTTTTCTCTCAGAAATAATGTGAAATTTTCCATTATTCTTATCTTTTCCATGAAAATTCATTACCTGCTGAATATTTTGGTGTCCAAAATGAAATATTTTCTCACTGGTATTAATGAAAACAACAGATGCACTGTATCTTCTAATAATACCTTTCAGGTCAGTAATCAAATTACTCCAGTAGCTATCTCGGATTCCTTTCACAAGTTAAGTTTCAATAACTTTAGTCTGTAATGTATAGCACCTATGATCCATCAAACTCAACAGGCTTTTCATTTCAAATTTCATGAAATAAATAATCACAGGGAGAATTTGGCTAAACTAAGACATTTCTGCTAGAATTCTCATCATCCAGAGTTAGTATTTGTGCTGTTATTATAGGATATATATATATATATATATACTCAAAGGAAACAACTCCCTCCCTGCACATGAAGTTATACACACATTTAAGCATGTTGAAGAGAACCTAGTGAGGAGCATGTAGTATGCTCCATGAACTTACACTGCTCAACTAGATCAAGTGAGTGTTTCATCTCAGAAATTCACCCAGTAACTCGGAAAGTAAGGGTTGCAATGCCATTTTAGTCATTCAGTTTTCAACCACATCGTCATCATAGCGTATGATAATTAAAAATACTAAGTCGGTGGAATAAATTCACAAATACAAAATAAATCCTTTAACAAAGAAAAATTAGTAAAATTAAATAATTATACATGAAAAACACCCTTTTACAGTGATGAATATACAATACAGATAAACCCTTTCACTCAAAAATATTCAGGTAATGGTTATGTGAGAAATACTCCAGCAAAGATTACTTTCAAAGTCATAATAAATAACATACAATAAACAATCTTTAACAAAGATTCATTTAAAGTTACAATGCTAGGATGAGAACAAATAGCAATATAAACTCTGTAAAATAGAAATAACAACCATAGTGCAAACTACAAGATTACAAATCAAAACTACCTTTTGACAAAATTGAAAGGTTTTTTTTGGGGGGTATTAAACACAAAGCTACTCAATGGGCTATATGTGCTCTATATGCCATGGGTATCAAAACCCAATTTTTAGCTTCTAAGTCCACAGACTTACTGTTGAACAACCAGGGGGCCCAATGGAAAGGAGTGGTGCTTTTTGCATAAACTCAGTAATAAAAAGGAAAACAACATTTTAAAATGAAATAGTGCATAATAAAAACAATGATATTTCATTTTCATCACCTTACAAGAAAACCAAAATAAAATGGAAACTAACAGCATTACAAACTACCTTTTAAACATAAGGGAAGTCGTAACCTCAATATATTATATAACTGCCAATGATAAAGACCGTTGTCGTACTTCACATATGGAGTACTTTACAGCTATCTTTCCCATGGGAGATAGACAACACATGATTATATACCACATGTACATACACACAGTGTATTCTTTATTAATACAAGAAGGTAGACAACACATGGTTATATACCACATGTACACACACACACAGTGTATTCTTTATTAATACAAGAAGGTAGACAACACATGGTTATATACCACATGTACACACACACACAGTGTCAGTAAGATGATATCTTGAGATCAACAGTGACATAGGTAGCACTTGTGTCTTGAAAGGAACAGTATTGTATCCATATCCACCAGTTCCTGTTGAGAGTATTGCGATATCTGTGTATCTTAAACTGTTAAACCTCTGTGTTAAAATTTTGTTTATAGTTTACTTTATTCCTTCCATACTTTGAGTACACAG